AAAACTACGGGGAACCATGCAAAAAACGCATCTTCGCACGGGCAGCCCGTGCGTTGGCCAATTTTATTCATAATGAGATGTGCAGGCACTCGGATGTAGCACGAGCGTTACCGCATATGGAAACGGAGGGCGCGCCCAATGAAGTTTCTTTCTTGCTTGGAAACAAAACTGTCCAAGTCCCCTTCAAAGTGATCTGATGGCGACTTCGAATTCTTGCTATATACCAGTAATAATTAACCATCGAAATGAGTGAATGAATCGTAAAGGGAGTGGCTGTTTCAATGATGGAGTCGAAACCTCGATCTTAAGCTACGAACAGCGAGCTACCAGCACATCATATCCTTCAGAAAATAGTATTAAAGCATACTGTTGATGAGAAGACTTCCATCGGGTAGCATTTTGACTCGATCGCCCAATTTTTCCATTGGTATACCGTTGCGGCGCCAGAAAATCTTGGGGATCGGATGGCCAATCGCGCGACACTGCAATGTCACGGAACGCTCGATATTCACTCGGACTGTATCGGGGGTTGGCACAATTGTCGGCATACCTGTGCAGTTGCAGTTTTTTCTTATCGACAACGTTAAAAATTTTATTCAGAACTTGACGAAAATGCTTGCAAAATCTCTTAAAAATCTAAGGTTTTTTCATTCGGGATGAAATAGCGATGCTCAACATACACAAGAAACGTCTTGAAATGGCTAAGCCTTGTCGAATGCCTCTGTCAGAAGAACGACTAAGCTCGTAACTCTCGCAGGAGGCGAAACTCTGTCAAGAAGGCCAGCAGGCTGACCACTGGAAGAAGTAGCTCTAGTCAAAAAAACTGGAAAAGCTGCCCCCTGAAAACTGGAATATTTCATAATGCTTTTAGCAGCGAGCGTTGGTTGTGACGGAGACAGCGATGGAGCGAAGGATGCTCAGCTCAAACAATCGGATCCTCCGTCACATGAGTGCCGTGCAGAATATCGCTGCACTCAGGCTAGAAAGTAAAAACGAATGGGCAGGATATATTGCCCGTCTAGCCGACAACCAGCAGACAACGCGTACTGGTGAGCATGAAAAACTAAACAGCCACTCAGGCGGTTCCCGTGGAAGCAGTGCATATACATCGAAAAGGCAGTGGGGGGCTTTTATGGAGGTATGGAGCCCGGATCCAACGGCCTAGCAAAGCCGCGCTCGGTGTGTGGAAGCACCCCAGTAACATCACTAAAACGGCATTCGCGCACTGATAGACTGGGAGGTACCAAGAGTATTCTTGGTAGATGATGATATACACGGCAAGTCCCAGATATCCCAGGAAGTGCCACTCTGGCTATGCAGTAAAGAGGAAGCACCAAGAAAAAAGAAAAATACTGCCGGGGAAATGCAAAGAGCGAAGTTATAAAAGAACATACTGCCGACGTCGAGACTAATCACCCCTAGGTCACGCCCGGCGATATTCTGCGCAACACAGGAGTATGAGCCAGCATCCGAATCTTGCACACCCTGAAAACTCGTCAGTACAATAAGCACCATGTGACTTTCACATCAAAACAAAGAAATTCTTCAGAGCACAAAGCTAGTGAAAAAAAAA